TATATATATATATATATAAAATTTTCGAGGTTTTTCCCAATTTGTTTTGGCAGAGTACATTTTTTAATAAGCCATAACAAATTGACAATTAGGCCTAATATTATTTTGTTTATATATTTAACAATTTGATAATAGTGCATATTGTACTATAATACAAACCTCCCAAACTCATTATCAATATTTAAAATTTGTCTTTAGGCCCATAAGTGTGCATAAATCCAAAGATTTGAGATGTTAATTACATTTTATATATTTATGATATCTGATGATCTGATAGGTCTATTCAATTAATTTTGCTGATCCTGATAGCCGTATTAATTAACTAAGTTTTTAAATTTCAAATAAACATTTATTTCTTCACACAATACAATATAATAACAAAAGGTAAATATTGAACAGCCGGATTTCATAAAAAAAAATAAGAAGACTTGTGTGAAGGGCACAGCTCAAAAAGTATACGCCAAATGATAAAAGGAAAAACCATTTATCAAGTGGCACTTGTAACGAGCGACCCATATAAAAACGAAAGCATATTATATTTCTTTGAAATAAATACATAAACGAAACAAATACAAAACACGCGGATACAACACGAAGCAGAGGGGGGAATTGGAGAAATGATTAGGCAAAAATTTATCAATATTATAATAAGGGTATTAGAAAAATAAACCTTGATTTGATTTAAGCATATTTAGATAAGAGATATTTCTTGACCTTAAAGGAGAAAATTTTCCTGGAAGGGGCCGATATAATTTCAAGGGGGAGTTTATTAAAAAGTTTGGAACCACTATATCGAATATTGTGTTGGAGTAAAGTAAGTTTAGGTAGAGGAAGGTGAAGGTTTTCACGAATTCTGGTGTTGTAAGGATGTAAATCTGAGTTTTTAAAGAAGGGACAAAGGTTAGTAGGGAGAAGAGAATTAGTAACTTCATAAACAAAGATACATTGTTGTAAAATATTTATATCGAAAACAGACAACTGACGCAAAGCAAGAAAAAGGGGACTCAACAGAGTGAGCAAGGAATGGAGCATCTGAAATTATATGGACAGCTTTTTTTTTTTTGGAGCTTGTAAATTTGTTCAAGAATGGATTTGTAATTGTTTGCCCAGATAATATTGCAGTAATTGATCTACAGTATAATAGAATCATTAAACAACTTTATAGGCCGATATTTATTACACTGTTATATAAACTCGCAACTGACATCTAAGTGTTACGTCATTTAGAAGCGCATGCGTAATGATAATGATTTATTCGCGTCAACTAATACTAATTCGCGTCAATTTATGTCGTAATTTGCGTCAATTTTTGTTGTAATTCGCGTCAACTTAGGGAAATTCGCGTCAAGTTCGACGATCAGCGCTCATGACGTCAATGTTTACAAAATTACGCCCTCATTTAATTGCTGACATTTCATTACTGGAAGAGAAAGTGGACGAGCCAACATGGCAAAAGATGGAGGAGTTTAGGCGTATGAGTTTGGATGAATTATCGCCAGAAGAAAGCTCAGAAATAGAAGAAGAGGATTACTTAAAGACACATTTTGGTGACAAAAGGGTTTTTAAATCAGAATGGACTCGTAATGTATCAAAGCCCAATACTTTTAGAGCGAATGAAGCGCACGGTTCTAAGCCAACTCGCCGAGCCTTACATCAGAAGAACCGACCCGTTGCTACCCCTTTTCTGTTGAGCACAGATGCTAGTCAAATAGTTGATGATGATGATGATGAAGACGATGATGATGACGGTAACGATGTATTTAACGATGGCGGGGACAAAGAAAACTCACCTTTTAATAGTCATTGGTCTTCAGTAGATAGAGAAAGTAGATTTAGCCATCCCATTAATAGAAAGGAGTCGTCCATTGTTGACGATTTACTGTGTGAAATATATGATCGCTGTCAGCCGTCTAGGCCTAAATATAGTGTTGATAGCGATGGCTACACAGAATATTCAAGTACTTCTGAAGGTGCATATCACAGTAGCAGAGGAGATGGATTTAATAGCACTACACCTAGGCTAAGCCGAGCTGCTCTAGCTAATAAAGGTACAATTTCTTTTTTAACTAACAGTGAATGTAAACGATTTGTTAAAACAGAAGGTTATTTTATAGTCCTTATTGCCATTGGGTTTTAAAATTTACGCCATGGCTAGCTAGGGATACGGTACCATATCTTATCTTCCGTTTGATAAAGGCATGATGAACCGCATCATCCAATAAAATATCGCCACCAGTGTGGCGTCATTGTTCATGAAGACTTGTGAAATCGCTCACTGAATGCAGAGGAAGTTTATGAAGTAACATATTTGAAGTATTCCTGATGATGACATAATTAATGTCGAAATATTGAATCCCAACACGATGGCGTGTATATTTGAAGTAGTTTGTCTTGAATATGAATTCCGTAAGCCTATGACTGAACTCTGTATCTCGTGTCGCGGTCTTACGAAAATAATAAGACAATGTTCAACAAACAATATAAGTACACAATTATATATTTAAGGGGCCTAACCATTATATTTACAAATCTCATATTTGTGAAGCAAATTTTACAAATATTCTCAGTATTTAATTCAAACTGTCTGCATATTTAAATCACCAACACGATGACGTGTATTACATTTCTTGAGTTTTGATTTTAATTTTATTGGGTTCACTTTTGAATCAATGGTACCCATTGTATTATTGTGCACCCAGAATACAAAATAGACTTACAAAACAAAAAGAAGAAAATATTTTTATTCATAAATCTGTAATTATTAGTTAAATAATTAATGGAGTATTCGATTTAGATTTATTTCACAAAGTCACAATCATATTCACATATGCGATTACAATAGAAAATATGGGTATGCCTATACAGTATAAAAATGGGAAAGTGAGATGCAAGGAGTTACATTGGCTCTTTTAAATGATGTGATATTGATAAATAATAATAACACCAAAAACTTTATTTCATTTCATTTCATTTCAACAATTCTATTTTTGAAATTTTATATTTGAAATTTTATATTTGTATATTTATATATTTATATCTGGCGAAATAAATTAAATGAAATGAACCCGTGCCGATATTGTTGACTATGATCACGGTGCCCCTGCCTTAACCGCTCGGCCATTTGGCTCGCTCTAATCAAAAACTCTCAAAAGTAATGCAGTATATTTTCAGATTAGGTCAGGTCAAATGCTATATCAGGAAAAGATAAAATTGATAGATCATACTGTATAGGGTCTGTGATCCTTTCTTGAGTCATACGAAAGCTAACACATTGTTATTGTATACAGTCTTAGCTATTGTACAGTAAAGGTGTTCCGTAATATAACAACTTGGCAGGAAAGCAGGTTCACAGCCAGCAATTTTTGAATGATGTTTTTACACTGGTGGCAGCATTTTATTGGAATAATGCAATTTACCGTAACTTTAGCAAATGGAAGTAAAGATACAGTACCATACCTCTAGGCACGGCGTAAAATTTAATATCTTGGTATTTTGTAAATTATAGTTACTGTACAGGGTTTGAAAAAAACGCTCTGGCTAGGGGTACGTTTAATATTGGATCCGTTCATTGTCTTTCTTTCTGGTCTCCAAATCCAGCAGTGGATTTTGATCAATCACGAAGCGATCACATGCCTGTAGAGTGATATGACTTATTGTGTACATTAGTGTGACTGTCGCAAATTGTGTTAATGTTCTTGTTCGTGGTGGCTACGAATTGAGTAATATAGTTATTCTGTCAGAAGATTTCCTTACTCCATTTCAGAATGGGATACTGTATAGGAAGAGTTGGGTGGGACCCTTCCCAGAAAGCTATGCTTAATAGATGCCCGGAAGTGTGAAGTGTGATATGAAATGGAACATTTTGAATTTGTATTCCATTTTTTATTTTTTGTCACAAAAATAAAAAATTGCAGTAGCAAAATGGGGACATATCCCCTCCCTAAATCTCTCCCTAAACCCTTCTCCCCTAACCAGAATTATTGGTTAGAATGCAATATGTTAATAATTATAATGCAATGAAATTTATACAGTAATGCACCTATTAAAATAATAATTATTATTATCAATTACCTACTGTATCTATATGGGGTCATATGTTTTTCTCGAATATTTATTATCATCTTTAGTTACCTGTATTTTCTTGTCTTGACCCCAATTTAAAAAATTTTTTCATTTGAAATGCTTTTCAGATGTAGACGAGCTTCGTGAAATGCTGCAGCATCTAAAAAACCGAGTTGGTGTCATGTCAGGTCGATTAATAAAGGAGCTTAAAAGAAGAGATAAGAACCTGGCAAAGTTAACAAAGAATCAAGATGTGATAACAGCCATACTTCAAGCAGTCTCACAAAAACGAAGTAAGTAAAACTACGTCAAAAAGCTTATTAGTTTGTCATCTGAATTTGTTTTTTAAAAGAATGAAAAGCCCTTTTTTAAGCTGTTGGATTTTACTCAGGTCAAATTGTTAAGGTAGTATAGTAAAACAACTAATTTTATAAACATGGGTTTTATGAATACTGTAGTCAAATTTAATAATGAGTTTTGCATTGAATGATATCATTATCATCAACCAAATAAATGTCAAAAATGTGTGATAATGCATTTTTTTTAAAATCAAGCTTGTATAGTTCACCCTCCAATTCAAGATCACCTTTGGGACCTAAAAATTTTGGGAGGTCTTCAGGATTTGGTCTCCACATAGAGAGTTTGCTTAGTGTTAATAAGATTATTATTTGGTTCTTTGAAAAAGAATGAGCTCGAATTAGAGGGGTCTCAGAATTAGAGGGTCTCGAATTAAAGGGTATATTTTATTTATCTTAGTAGTTTAGTAGTTATTTCTTTCAAATTCTGCAATACAGCTTGCATAGTCTGGCCCAAACGCTAAAGTAAGAGAGACGGGCACTCCAGCCTGCTTCATGTTTCAAAGCTTTACCTTACAAGCAATAATTAAGTTTTTTTTTAGTGTGATTCAGTATTCTAAGTCTTACCAGGACGACAAAAAAACTGCCAATGTAAAAGTAATGAGTTATATACAGTAATATAATTTTTGATCTGATTTTAGTGTTTAATTCAAAATTGTCTTAATTTCACAGGGGTTGATACACGGATACGCTTCAGTATACGGCCAAGGTCTGGCAAGAGAGCTTTCAGACAGGTAAGTCTTAATTGATAGTTATTAATAAATTAATTGAATTTGACACTCGGCGCTATGAATCCACTGGAAATAGCGTGGTATAAATGTTTATAGATTATAGATTATTATAGAAAAGCATTTATTACACTGCTGATAATAAACTTCTATTGTTGCATACAATATGAAATATTTGTTAAGGTTTTTTTGATGATGAAATACACTAATTGCTGTTTTTGTATTGAAATACTGCTTGACTAAAAAAAGAAAAAAACAGGTCAGGAATTATCAAAGGTACTGTAGAAGTGGCTGGGGATAATACTGGCTATTCAGTGGGGTCTTATGTGAGGTTTAAAACCAGAATAGCGTCGACAAGTAAATGGATACTCTGCAAGGAATGATTTAATTTATTAAATCATAGAATCTGTGATCAAAACAAGCAATTTAACTGAAAGGATATTTAGAGTTTCTACAACAAAGGAAGGATTTACTTAAATTTGCATTTTTTTTGCATTCACACTACTGTATAAAGTGAAATCTGATGCAGGGAGAATAAATGAAATGTCCCATTGATAACTTGGTTAACTTGTCCCATGGATAACTTGGTTAACTTGTTCCATGGATAATTTGGTTAACTTGTCCCATGGATAACTTGGTTAACTTGTCCCATGGATAACTTGGTTAACTTTTCCCATGGATAACTTGGTGAATCATTCATATTGTTGTGGAAAGCAATGACTTTATAGTTACTGGAATAGCTGTAGGGGGCTAGATGTTGAACTAGGGACACATATACAGGGTTGGAAAAAGTTTGTGACTGCAATTTTTTTTTTTTAATAAAAAAAAATGCAAAATTAAATTTAATATTTTTGCTTTCTCCAAACCACTAAATGTACAACTGTTTCCCTATAATAGTTTAAAGATAAAATTTATTGCTGGAAGCATTTCATCAAGATAATTTTCATGGTTGGAGGCACAAAAATATTTTTTCCAGGCCTGCACATACAGTACGGTAGATCTCCCAATGTACAGTAGTCTTATTACTAGAGGCAAGGCATCAATAAGCATGTGTTGAAAAATACATATGCCACTGGTGAATGTGATGTAAGGCAGTAAATTTTAAATTAATGTGAAGGAAGCATTCAAACAGATGAGCATTATATATTCTCATTTTTACTGTCTATGTATCAAAAAATTTTCTATTTTATTTTAGACTAGAAAACTGAATACCATATTTATTCGAATAATAATAATGATAACATGTGAATTTTATAGCGCATTCCGCAAAAAGTCTCAATGCGCTTTACAACAATAACCACCAGCAGTAAATAGATTCAACTTAAACTACTTAACTAGTTCTGAAATGCATGAGGGCTAGGTGTCCAGAACAGGGCTGTACCCACTGATGTTGAAACAATGTCACAGTCACACCCGGATGCACTCTGTTAGGCACTCTGTTAGGTAGTATGCTGGGCTCTACTACCGTGCACTGCAAATGACGTCTCGAGTAAGGAACAGGTGGGCCCCACTTTGAATAAACTCCCTTCTGAAATAAATGCAATAACACATTTTTACGGTAAATGTGTAGTAGTTCCACATTTAAAGTGAAATTAAGGGGAGTTTATTTGAGATTATACAGTACGTACTGGTATCCATTTCACACCAACAAATAAATACCTCACTTGAATACTGTAAATGTCCCTTTAAAAACCCTTCTCAACAATAAACTATTTTAATAAATACAGTATATCATTATTATGTGAGTTTTGAGGCAAAATACACATTTAGGCTTTGTGCCAAGAAAAATAACCATTGAATGTAAAGCTTGAGAGTACTTCAGACTTTCCCATATGTACCAATGTATTGTTTACAGTACATGTTTACAATTATGAAGTGACGGGATATAAATTCTATAGACCTGTACATCATACTGTATGTTAAACTGTAAGTTATTAGTTAGAATAAAAGAAGCATTGTGCCAAGAAAATAATAGCATGAGTATGCCAGCAACATAGTGTCTGTAGAGAGCTCTTGTCTTCTGATACTGTACGTACCAGTGCATTGTTTAGATGTACATGTAATTACCAATTTTGATGTGGAGAGGTACTGTAAACCTCATCTCAAGTACCATGGCATGTTACATGAGCCAAAAAAGAGAGAAAAAGATGGTTCTTCATGCCAAAAAAAATGGAACAAGAATTAATCTAATTGTTAATGTGAACAGCCATTAACATGGTCATGTAACCTGTACATTGTATTTGAGCCTTTCAATCAATCATCCCCATGTACTGATTCTGTGTTGTAGCTTGTTTGTTAACATGCTTGCCTTTCCAATCCATTCAAATCCTGTAAATGAAAATTGAAAAAACAATTGTCTTCTTATTTAGCAAATAGTTTTGTCAAAAACATCAAGACGAAGGACATTTTATTGGTGAATGTTAATGTCAGTGTATTTAATGGATGGTTAAATGCTTTAAATTTCTATAATTAGGAAGAAATATATACAATCATAATTTTTGGAGATTTGTTTTGTTTTTTTTTCAACACGATTTTGATTTTACACATTTAATAAGTAAGTAAAGCTGGTGAGCTGGACCTGCTACATAGTGCAGTAGTTTATTTTAATCACGTGTCTTACTCCAATTAAAGATCCCTCTTCCAATCCCAAACCACAAAAAAAAAAAAATAGCCCCAAATTGCAAGCAGACCTATAGTGTACATATATTCAGTTTGTACATTTAAAAAAAAAAAAAAACTTTTTTATCCACCCCTCATCTCTTATAAACCTCCATACAGACAATTTTGGTAATCTTTCTTTAAAAAAAAAAAAAAAAAAAAACTTTTTTCCGCCCACCCCTTCACTTAAATATTTGCAATGTGACAGCAAACAAACCATTTTTTTTTAGGCCCTTAAAGTTATATGGCAAACAAAACAAGATACTTTGTTCCTACGTAGGAACAATATTGTGATTTGTTGTACAGTACAAGTAGTGAGCACTTCAGTCACCACTTACATACCAGTTGTTTGGATGTTCAACAATCTCGATATAAAGAGTTTGATATTAATCCATGTTTATCAACTTTGATGTGAAGAGTTTAATCCTAAAGATATTGAAACAATCCATACTAGAAACTAAAACAATCTGTGGCACGGTTTACTCATGCATCCATCCTTATTATTAAATGAAATTAAATGTTTGGGTACTATATAGTAGTGTCATGTTCAAATATTTTAAATACTCAGTTAATTTATACGATGTGGAATTAATTGTTTATTTATCTTACAGATAGAATGAATTTCTAAAAGATACATACTATTTTAATGTATGCCTCAAATATGATACCTGTTGCTAAAATGTAATTTGCAATTAAATGAAATATCACACATTGATTTTGGCAAGTAATAAAATGCATATTACATGTACTGCATCAGTACCTATCAGTCTAACACTTTTAGCAAGTGAATTTAGTTGCAAATCAGATTAAAAATGTGCATGTGACCAGAGTTTAGCGTCCATTCCAATGCTTTGGCAGTCAAGGCCAGTGTTTTGTTTTACCCAGGCGAGTAAATCTGCACCGAAATAGAAATGTGTTTACAATAGCAGGTGATAAAGTGTCTTTTGTTGCAGCCCAGCAGAGTGCGACAAAATAGACGCACGTCAATACTACTTTACTACAATTGAATCACTGGTCAAAAAACATACAGTACATTAAAAAAACAAGCTGACATTGATGAATCTGCTTATAAAAAAACTATTTAAGCCTGTTTTTTTTTTGATGATATTCTTTTTAAAAAATAGGCAATTGTCAATTTCTAATGATTGTTGTCAATGTTGGAAAGTTACAATGGGTCTAAAATTGGGTTGGTTCTCTATAGTCCCACTTTTAACCAAGCATTGTGTTTACCTATGCAACGAAATACAAACTTCATTAAACCATTGAGAAATTACTGACCTTTATTTTCATAAAAGTTTAATTGTACATACAGTAATATATTACTTTGGTTTCTTCGTCATATTTGCTCGTTCATATGACAAATTAATATGAAAAAATATAGGTAATAGATGAATTTTGTGATTCCTTTTGGGCTAGCTAGGCCACATCCAGGCCTAGACATATATTTATTGGGCTGTATTGCCTAGGATTCGCCTACTCTACAGTGTAAACGTTAAAAATTGATTGGAAAATTCTGATATTCTCCCATCTTGTGTTATGGGGAAAGGGGAAAACTAATTAATGTACTGTAAATACAGATGGACATGCACTTTTCATGATTAAATTTACTTTGGGAAACATTTTAAGTTATGTAATGCAAACGTTATTATTATTATTTTTTTAAGTGGTATGATGCTTTAAGGGCAGTGTCTCGTCTTCCCAATGGTATCCCTCAAAACATCCGAAAAGAAGTATGGTTAAGCCTCGCTGATCGACACATCAGGCATTTAAAAATTGATTGGAAAAAGACGGTACGATTTGCGTTCAACGACCGAAGTAACCCAGATGATGATGCACTAGGTATTCAGATTGTGAAGGTAAATATCAAATGTGTCTGAATATGCATGATTCAGTAAGATAATTACTATGGTTACTTATGCTTGGTTGACTCTCCTGCTCTTTAAAAATCTCATAGTATTCCTGTTTGACTCCTTAGTTTCAAAGTAAGACCATACTTTTGGTTAGATAAGTGTTAGTTTTCCCATAACATTGGTGTATGTATATTTGATAGTTCTTTTTAATTTACCACAGCAATATTTATCGTTTTTTGCTTTTGCTCCATTTTAATGATAGTGATTGTTTTTGTCCTCAATCCTTACATTTTCTGAGTTTCAGATTCTGTTTTAGGCATTTTGGTTTCTCCTATTTGAGTTACTTTGTATGTGTATGAATAGTGTAATTTTATATTATACTTTTCTACACATTACTAAACTAGAAATCAAATTAGGTAACATGATTCTTAATGATAGTTGAAATTATAGAAATATTTAGATTAAATCTTCTCTTTATCCCTTCTTCTGTCTTCAGGACCTTCACAGGACAGGGTGTAGTGGATTTTGTGGACAAGGAGCCGAGGAAGATCGAGTTGTTTTGAAGCGTGTGTTGTTAGCATATGCACGTTGGAATAAATCAGTCGGTTACTGTCAGGGCTTCAACGTAATTGCTGCTCTTATATTGGGAGTTGTTGATCGAGTTGAAGATGATGCGCTTAAGGTAAGAAAATAATAATGCTATGCTGTTGTCAGTCGCATATCTGTGGGGTGAACAGGGGGAATATTCTACTCCCCAACCTCCCCTCCCCAAAAAAAAAAAAAAAATAAAAAAGAGCTTCTCTAAGGCAATTGCAATTTCATTTATTTTATTTTAATTTTTTTTAATTTTTTAATTTTTTTAAAATTTATTTAATTTTTTTTAATTTTCTTTTTTTTTTTATTTTTATTTATTTCAATTATGGTACATTCCAAATATAATAGAGCATTTAGATTCTGGTTTTACCTGGACCTAGTTACAGTCCTATAGAGTTTCTTTCAAGAGCCACATAGTTTGAATAACTAATTGGTGAATACAAGTCTTATCCCCAAAGCTTGGCTTTGTATTCAAATCTAAAAGTGTTTTGACAAAAACCAAGACTGAATTAGACAAGTCTCACCGTATGGTCAATTTTATTAGGCGAGTCTTTTTTTATACCTTGTTTAGCGAACCTGCTGCTCGCCAATAATGAAGATTTTAAATAAAAATAACATTTTAATTTTGGCCAATTAGCGTACCCGCTGACTCGAAAAAAAATGTGAAATTTCAGAAAAGCATTTCTTTATTGTTATTATACTCACCCCCGCTTTAAAATCTCCAAAAATAAGATATGTATTATTTCTTCCTAACTATATATAAATTTTAATAATTTAACCATCACATTACTACACTGTTTACATTCACCAATATCATTTTATTTTATTTTCTCTACTGTGTGGATGTTTTTGGCAAAACTATGTGCTAAATAAGAAAATTTTATATTTATTTGTTTTCGCCCTCCTCTGACGATCTTCAAAAAAATTAGTTTGTGACATGCATTTTTGTTTTTATCTAGTTGGTCCTAGAACCTTGCCTTGGAAAGCACATAATGTTTTCAAAAACAGTTAAGTCTGTACTAAACTATGGCTGCTACAGTAAAAGAATCACAATATTTTTATTTGATACTTCAGTTTCTCTCTTCTAGCTATGATATAGTAGTTTCTTGGCTATTAATACAAATGTACAAGCACAAAATAAATTATGAATGCAAACTTTAACCTGGAATTTACAGGAATCAATTTACTAATTGCCAAAGTTATGAGTAAAATTATTACTGCTTCTCTATACTAATATATACAATACTGACACATTCTTGTACTAATTACTCAGTTTAACAATCAGCGACAGTGTGCTGGTTTTGGGTTGACAAGCCTCATTTAATGAAATCATTTTAACAAAAGCAATTTGTTTTATTTTTCTAGGTTATGATATTTCTGATAGATCATGTATTACCTGATAGTTATTTTGCAAACAACTTGAGGGCGCTGTCTGTTGACATGGCTGTTTTCCGTGAATTGCTTCGCTTCAAACTACCAGAACTTTCCCGTCATCTGGATCAGCTACAGAAAGCTGATCATGACCCCGCAACTGGTAAGGTTTGAACAAAAATGTTGGATGATTATTCACATATTATCCTTTTATATATTTGTATTGTATTTTATAAGGTGACCTTGTGTTGGTGTTGTACATATTCTTGAGTTTTGCATAAATAGATAAAAAAATAATAATAAAGGGATGAGGGGAGAGATAATTTTATAAACATGCAAGATTTATCAGTTTGGAGGCCTGTCATGTATTATATTTCTTAGTAACTGTCAATACTGATAACTCTAAAGCAATTGTCTGTGGTTTAGTGCTAAAATTCTAAGGTATATTGCCACCTGATAAACTTGAAAATTATAGACAAATATTGAATTGATGTTTAACTAACTACTTTTATTACCTCAGCCTCAACCATCGTTGTGCTGAAGTGGATTTGGCCCATCTGCCAGCCCCAACCATGGTTGGACAGAAGTGGGTTTCGCCCATCTGTCAGGGAATAATAGACCATCTGTTGGGGAAATGCCGAGACAGACATTTAAATAATACCAATGTTTCTATAGTTTATGCTTAAATTTCTGCCATCAAATTTAATGATTTTCATAGTAAAGTGTCTGTAAATCATTGAAAGTTCCGAGCTTTTTTTATCTTTTACTTATTGTAAGTTGATAAATGATGTCTTTTTTTTTAATGATCATTCTCAAGTATACATTAATTTATTAAGTTTGGAAATACAAACCAGTCATAAGCTAAAGATGTTGCATTGGGTTTTTTTTTATAGGAATATTTCTTGTTTAATTCTGCATCTGAAATGCAGAAGTATTGAAAAACTGTTATAATGAAAGTATGGTAATTAGATAGTATAATACATACTCCAAGTATCAAAATGCACGCCGTCGTGTCGGGATTCACTATTTCGACATTAATTATGTCATCATCCTGCATCGTGTCGGGATTCAATATTTTGACATTAATTATGTCATCATCCGCGTGAATTTCAATACTTGGAGTATGTATTATACTATCTTATCTGAGATTAATCAGTGGACCTTTCGGTATAGTAATTAGTATCTTGGTATTAAGTATTTCAATAGAATTTATTTTTCTTAATTTGAAGAAGCCCCTCTTTATATGTAAAAGTTAGTTTGTAAAGAAGCCCATCTGGAAAAGAAGCCTATATTCATTAAACTTTTTAGTTTACTCTAATTTCTAAAAAGCTTTCTGAATAAATATAACCTAATTTTGATATCTCACCTATATTGTTATTAAATCTATAGAATTAGGGTCTTTTGTGTGTTTATGTTTAATAGGCATTATTACTTGTAAAAGTCTAATGGTGCAGTAGGTTTTGCTTTTATGTTTCAACTTTGACATGGTACTTCAGATACAAACAAAGTAAATAGTACAATGAGATTTCTAACCTGAAGGTCTATATCTGGATTTACTACTTTTGGTTATAGTTGTTCCCACTAAAATGTATAAATTATCTAAGTATATATAATTCCATTCCTATTTGCTTAGACCCTTCAGTGGTTTGTTATCATTTTAAGATTTTCTTTGTAGTAAAGTACCTATGATTGAAAAAAAATTGTATGCTTTATTTATCAACAGGCTGCTATGAACCACCTTTGACTAATGTGTTCACGATGCAGTGGTTTCTGACGCTATTTGCCACATGCTTGCCCCAGTCTCTTGTGCTGCGTATCTGGGACTGTATCTTCCTCGAAGGCTCCGAAGTTCTTCTACGGGTTGCCCTCGCCATCTGGGCAAAGTTGGGACCGTAAGCATTATGCATTATATCTTCACTCTTACAACAAGATGGTGTGTATCTGCATTTAAAGGAGAAACATAGGAATGAAAAAATATGTAGTAACTATCAAAAATATTGAAACAGCAAAGGATGGCATAGATTGTAAAAGAAAATTCCAATTTTTCAAAATAATTGATAGAGACCATATGTGGTGTTTGTTGTTTTTCAATGAGAAGCCTGACATGATACATGTATAATGATGTGCTAGCTATAAATGCCATATAACCATTCCCAGAGATATTTGCAATCGTTGGCCTATTCACCTAAATGTCTGCATATGGGCAAGTTATCATCTATTTGCTGTACAGTATTTGTACAATGAAATGATTTGAATTTTTATTATAATTGTCTGAATACAGGCAAATTGAGGAGAATAACACAGCAGATGAATTTTACACAACAATGGGGATGATGTCACAGAAGATGTTACATGATAGTTACATGAACGCTGATGACCTCATCCAGGTGAGTCACCTTTGACCTTAAGTGCCACATGAAATGATAGTGGTAGAATGTGAAGGTAGTCAGATTTAATGTATGTCAAAAATGCTGTGCCACTGAGCGTTTTTTTTAACTCTTCTTGAAGCACCATTGAGACATATAAGCACATTCCATGGCTCAATTGAGTGGAGGTCATGTGACAATAGCCATCATATGACAATTCTATCATGTGACAGTGGTATTCAACATAAACATACACATTGGATTCTATCATAGGTTTAAGAGTCCTCAACAATATCAAATAAAATTAGCAAAAAATGTGGTCCTACCTACTTCAGTAAGTTATATTCATTATATGAATGAATATGTTATATGTATATGATTTTTATGTTATTATCCATTATGAGTATCGTTTATATGCTTTCATCCTTTGTGTTGAGCACTTACATTTTACATCCAAAATATATTTTTAAGTGAAACATAAATTGTATATGTGTGTGGGGGTCTGTATGATTTAATTTTCAACTCAAAATTGTATTCACCTTTTAGGTAAGTTCTTATATTTTTTGATGTCCTCTTCTTTCATCGGTTTAAGATGGACTGCGCGTCTTATATGCTGCCAGTGATGTAAAGGTGAAATGTCAAATCAATATTATTATTAAAGGGTTGAGTGATTGATGGATGATGTGATTGGGTTTTTTTGCTATTATGTAGACGATTTACTCCATTGCTCCATTTCCGTTCCCCCACCTGAGTGAGATACGCGAGAAGTACATGTTCAGCATCACTCCATTCTCACCTGAGGGCTCACTTGCCAAAACATCTGAAGATGAAAAGGACAGGGGGAAACCAACATCTCATAGTGATGAGGAGGCAGAAAAAGATGATGAAGACTTGGCCAACATCACCTGTTTCACCAGTATATTCCCAGTACCTATTGTACCCCCTAAGTCAAAGATTGATCAAGGTAAGCATTTTAGATTCATCTGATAACAGTAAATCTTCACCAGATTTCTTTAGGAATTACTATTGTGAATTACCTCAACAGTCTGTTAGCTAGGGCTGTTTGAATATTTGTTCATGTGACTTTTTGTCTGACCTTCGATTAGTCACGTTCAGTTAAGAATATGTAAGGGTTTATTAGTACTGGTATCCACCAACTACAGATACTCGTGCTTTTAGTTAATACCACCACAGCCATTGGATACATAGACAACCATACACCTTAATGTGGAGTATTCTTAACAAAGCATGGTGTGGACGGCGTAGGTCAGGTCAGGATATAATCAAACTAATTTAATTCTAATGTCATTCACATTAACCAAGTACATTTGCATACTCCTGAGTGAGGAGAATGAAAACGTAGAATATTTTTGTTCAAGGATGCAATGGAAATGTACAGTGTGTGATTTGACTAATTTCATTAATTTTTGGTTGTTGGAACAACCTCAAGGTGCTTAAGAACAATTAGTGGAGCTATAGTTTTTTGGCCTTCCAGTTCCAGGGTCCTGGGTTCTAGGCTATCAAATTTTATTTGACAATAACATGTTACGTGCCTAAATATGGTCAGAACATGACTTTCATTCTGATGTTTTGAGGAAATAAATATATTTTGCTGTTTAGAATGAAATAACAATGAATGATGTCATTGTTTAGGTGAGAGTGCAAACCTGCCTGCAGCTGATAGTAATGACATCACTCAAGCCAGTCCCGGTGCTTTCGGCTCCAACAATGAAATCCAATCCAGTCAGCTTTCAACGGCTATGTTGGAGAGAATGACGATGGATATACACGCTCTTAAAAGGCAATACAGTCGTATACAGAGACGACAGCAGCAAGCACATGTGATATACGGCCCAGGCTCCAGACCTGCCCAGCAACGAGGTAAGCTAGTCATTAAATAAGTATTATTCTAATCAAATATTGAGTAATTTTATCCAGAAATAATATTTTAATATTTTAGATATATTGTAGCTATAGATATGGTTGATTTGATTTTAATATTTTCATACTGGTAATAATTTTTATTAATAAGGTTCACATTACAAGGTATATTAGAATTTGTTTCTTTTTTCTTAAAAAGTATTCAATTTTTATTTTATGTATTTTAATTTTTTATATGAATGTGTCATGTCTTTATTTGGTTCTTCCATCCACTATTTATAATTTCATTTTAAGCATAATATGTTTTTATTATCAATGATGTGGGGTCTGTGCAATGCATTGTGAACATTTTTCTTAAAACTTAAGTTTCAGTAGCAAGTATAAACAAAATATATAACACAGATCTAAAAGATTAAATTAAAAAAATTACTAAAATTCTTTCCTGAAAATTCCTTTATTAACTACAACTTTCCATCAAAGGTATTAAAATAATAAGATAGTGCTCTCCACGATTTTTGCATGCAAATCCTGTAACAATGCAGTGTAGGGCGCCCTCTTGCAATTGCTTTTCAACTTTGACATAATCTTAGTGAAAATTCTGTAAAACCATGGAAACAACTAGGCCGGCCTTTCTCATTACAATTACTTTCTGTTGCTTTCTGCGCGAATAGACGCTTCTACATTTTGTTACACGTAAAACCATGGAGAGTGCTATCTTGTTATTATAAGATCTTTGCCTTCTATCCATATATGGTATCACAGGTATGTATGATTAACTTACGCAATCTTGCACACCAGACCTGAACATGCTATCATAGCTACAATTGTATGTCGCCTATTAATGACATACTGTATAGTACAAATAAGGTTATGTCTTCACTTTTTAACATACAGCACAAAGAACCGTTCTAAGGTTGTCATTTAACAGGCACTGTCATGTGGATTCATGTAATATAATAGTTGAGTACTCACCATCAATAGCCTGCTTTCATTATAAATTTCATGAGGATTTCATACACAAGACATGAAAATATGAGTCATATTATTAGCATACATCATATTCTAATCATCATCATCATCATCATCTTCTTTGCTCCTAGCTTTATCATTTGCATTGTGATTATCATTTAATCTCTTAAGTCATTATCATCTGCGTCATTATCATCTGCGTTATGTTAACATCTTTATCATCTTTATCAACATCATCATCCCTATTGTCTGGTACTGATGCTGTCAGGAGAGTCCTTGACAGGTTTTTTTTTTTTTACTTTGGTAATCCATGGAAAGCAGCATCATTTTTTTAGACATACAGTAGATGGTTAATTTGATATTATCATTTTGGGCATTATTTTATGGTTCACATTTCTTTTCTCCATTTTTTCACTTTCTTTGCTTTCTTTTGGGGACTTTTGCTCATTCTCGTAGCTGACACAACGGAAGAACGCCACGTTACTGTGGTTGAAAAGTCTGACGGTAGGTTCCCTTCAAAATCGGCTTGTTATTTCTATGTATCAGATCCAGCGAGGGATGCAAAATATGGGAAAGCAAACCCTTAAACATTACTGTCTGTTATTAAAAAATTAATTAAATCAATGAACTGCTCTTTAAATTATCAAATGTAATTATCAGCTTCAAATAGAATGCAAATCTAAATTAATTTTTTGCTGATTATCACTTTAATAATACTCCACAAAACTTCTGAAATTGATTTTCAGTCAATTTAGGTAAACAGTATATAATCAATCCCTTCTATAAATTAGCAAGGAATTTAATTTGAATTGAAAGCCAATACCATATTATATTCAATTAAACTATTAAAATATTTTTTTCAAGTTTATTAATGTCAAGATAATTGGTATCATTTTTATCAGCCTAAACACAGACAGTGTATGTCTTATTCTAAAGAAAATATTGTATATTACGCTATGTTTAAGGCAGTGTTGCATACCGATTTGTTGCATACTCGCTATCAAATATTTTTAGTGTACTAGTACATGAGACGGGTCAATCTCAGTCAATAAACAAAGTAAAGTCTGCGGCAATTATAAAATCAATTGTGATTGTTCCAGTTGAAATGATTACTGTAGAAATTGAGTTAATAATTTATTGATTAGTAGCTCGTTAGTGGATCATTAATGATACATTGAAGTAATTTCCCTGCTGTGCATGTTACTGTGTCCTTTGGTGTTACATAGCTATAATCTGTATTCACTACGATGATATATATTATTGAAGCCAGCTATGTAATAGATAGCTTCATTAATATCTTGCATTGCAGTGATGTATTATCAAGGGAGTGTTTGCTTTAAATTCAATTTAGATTAGATTATAGACTCGTCAACTCTTCAAAATACTGTATCAGAATTAACACTGCTGTTCTTGTAGAACATTTTTCTGCTGTTGTCCCAGTTTTTCTAATTTTGATTTGGTGGCATAGAATTATTATTATAATTATTGAGTGCTACTAATAAAAGTACCTGTAATTTTCCATATATGGGTATGATGTGACATCATGATGGCCATATTTGGACAAATGGCAAAATGACCACATGCTCGAACAAAAGCTTAATCATGCCAAAATTGGGTGTGGGTGGAGTGGTGTCATGACGATATTGTGCGTAATTAAATACATTTGTTGCAATTTTGTTTCAAATGACATCCTAAAGTTTGAATTTTGACACTTTATTGTCGCATATTTGAATGGACGTTTGTGTGGCCAATTTGTGCTAAAGCTTCTGTTATATAGCACTTGAGAATTTGTATAATAACCCAGATTTGGTAGCCACAATATCATGGATAAACTTCAGCATTTGTTGGTTTTCTAAATTCTAATAACCAAGTTTGCTTCATTTTTATCATAATTATCTGTTAATTATTTTACATCTTTTTTCTTTTTATGAATTAACATCTATACTAATGTTGTAGAAACAATCTGAGTATGTTCTATTAACAAAATTTTTTAAAAGATAACTTTTTCCAAGTGTATACCCCGGAATATATACCTCTGAATATGCCCAGGAATACCTATGAATACCTCCATCCAATTGTAACAACCCCATGATATCGGCAACAAAGTTTTCATGCCTTCCTCAAGACACATCCAAACTACGTTTAGATAGTGTTGGGTGAATGCACATTTGTCTCCCTTCCCTTCCCACCCCTCCTATACCTGTTCCTTGGTGTATGTTGTGCTTTGTGTCTAATTTAAAAAGTTTACAAACTAAGTTAAAAATAACCTTTTGATAACTTTTTTCCATGTTGTTCATGGTTATAAGATGAATTCTAGTTTAGTTACTACAGTATTATGTAAATCAGTGAAAAATTTGAGAGTATTGTACATGTATAACTTCAGTAGTTAGTTGTGATTATGTTGATGATGTTTGTAATGTAATTGTGGTAGATTATGAATAATGGTTAGACTGTATTGATAACTAATGTGATGGTGATCATGATGATGATCAATATGATCAAAGCTATGAGGATGTTGCGATGTTTTTGATGATGATGGTGAAGACAACGATAATGGTGATCATGGAGTGGAGTTGAATGGCTTAGTGGTTAAGATGCTTGCCTTATATTCCCAGGGTTCCGAGTTCAATTCCTGTGACAGCTGGACTTTTTCTCACGACTAAAACAACCCCACTCCCTAAGCCTCATAAAAAGACTTCACTGATTACAGCATCATGTTATTTCATTCATTTATTAAAGAGGGCCCTGAATATCAGCCAACCTACTAGGATACGCTGGAAGGGTCGCCCTCTATAAATATGGTTAAAAAAAATAAATGATGAGGATGATTGAGTGATAAAAGCTATGAGGATGTTGCGATGGTGATGATGATGATGACAATGATGAGGATGATACATTGAAGGACTTTAGAACTATATATATCATATATATATATGACATATATATATATATATCATATATATATCATATATTGTAGTTGCCATAGATACTCTACACAAACAAGATATATTTTATACTGAGCAAATGAATAGCAGCAAATGCTGTTCTTGTTTTCATTAGGTAAAACCGGTGGATCTAAGACCATGCTCACAGCCAAGATTGAATCACCAGCCGCAATGAACCATCTATTCGTTGACAATGAGGGTAAGCAAAGCATTCTGTACAGGGATCTAGTTATTCAGGGCGGGGGTAGGCATGGCCACCCAGCCTTGAAATTTTCCACCCAGTCTAAAGTTAATTTCACCCTTGCCCATCCTTAAAATTCACTCTTATTATTTAGGGCTTACCAATGTTATAGCTGCAACCCAACTGTAGTATATCCAACATATTGCAAAAATCGTTTCATAACTCTTTGTTAGTGGTGGACTTATGTCCTGGTGGATCTTTTTGCATAAAATTTAAGGGGTGGCCTTATACACGAGTAATTGCTATAATTATAAAAATGTATTCCTTAATACTGTATGCATTGGCCTATGGTTTGGTTTGGGTGGTATGGAAGTGTAATTATGGTGGTGAATATGGTGGGGATGATGGTGGTAGTAGTGATACTGATGTAGGTAGTTGTAAGTGTTGTAGCATTGACAGTAATGCTGGTAGTGATGGTTATGGTGATGAGGATAATGGTAGTAGTGGAGTATGTGATAAGGAGGAAGATATATATTGTAATCCTGTGTAAGTAAACACTTGTGTAACAATATTGTAAATTTATTTTAATGTGTTTGTGCAGGACTGGGATTGAAGAATATGAAAGTCACCGTTGGGCCACATATTTCTCCTGCTTTGACCTTGGATGACGATATTGATAGTCCCCATTCCTCAAGGAAGATTTCTGCATTTAAGGGTCTGGACCGAAGACTAGCCAGAGGCAGAAGTAACCTGTCACAGCATTCCTTAACCTCGCATAAAGATTTTGGGAGTGGCAGCACCTTGACGTCAATGAACGATGATGATAAGCTCTCTGTAACCACATCAGGGTCATCAATGGATTGCAATAGATCATTGAACTCTGATGTCAGCACAGAGACAATGATGGCAGAAGCTGAAGAGATAGAAGGAGAGGTTCTTGAAAGTAGTGCTGAGGAGACTGGTGATCATGTCACAGAATGGCTAATTGATTTTGGTGTCGAAGACAGAGGAAAAGAAAACAGCGACAAGAGTGAGAATCACGGTGAGGAAAATGGTAACAAAGATCAGGAAGATGATAAAGATGAAGACAAACAGCTGGAGGAGAAGGTGAAGAAGAAAGAGAAAAACACCTACGATAAAGAAGATAATGATGGTGCCAATGATGTGGTAACATCAGGTGAGCTTGATGAATCTAGAGCAACTGAAAATGGAGAAAACATATCAGAAAAAACAAACATTAAAAAAGACCAGGCTACTGGAAAAAGTGAGCCTGATATTGAACCGATACCCAGCAAGTGTAATTTAAGTATTGTTAGTGGGAAAGATGTCAGTAACGGAACACAGGAGCAAAGTGAAACAAACACATGTTTAACAAAAAGGAATGAAAACTCAAATGATAGTTTAGATAGTAATCATAATATGAATAACTGTTCAATTAATCAGGATCATACCCATCATCAAGGACCAGTATCAAGCCATCCATTTGAAACCAAGGTCACAAGCAAACCGCCATTATCACGAACGAGCAGTTTAGAACGTCCCAGCCCCCCGATTACTCCAGATGCAAGCAACGTCGCATTCAATGTATCAACCATGGGATTCCAACCACAACTAGTTGACACGCCGCAAGCATCGAAACCGCACCGTATACGCCCACGAAGCTCATCCAACTGCTCGCAGAGAAGCAACAGCAGCAGTCACAGCGGAGATAGTTTAGATGGAGATGCACAGGTGCAAAAATCTCCTGAGTTTTATCCCTTTCCGACAAGGAAAACGAAACATGTGGTGCAAAGAACTAAAAACGGTTTGAAGGTTGGATTATATCTTCCCGTGCATGACAACAACGAACCAAAAAAATCGCAAGTGAGTAAGTGCTTATCGAGGGAGCTTAATGCACACTTGAGGCATATAGTTGGATCAAAGAGTTAGAACATTCATCAAAGCAATAAAAATACAGTAGTAGTCTTGCCTCATCGACGAACACTATTCGCACAGTCAACAGAAGGCTGTCAGAACTGAGAACCAAAAGCTTATTACTGTAATATTCTAAAGGCCAATGCAGACAGCGTCGTACGACGTAACCCAACGTGATTTATTGTTGCGTCGGGTCTGTGCGATTTAAACACATGCGATGGTTTTCGTTGGGGACAGGTGTGGCGTAGAATTTTAAACATGTTAATATTTCTCACGACACTTAAGGTACGCGTCGGGCTGCGTCATACGACCCTGTCCAAGGTGGCCTTAACAATCTTTTATGTATTGTGCTATGATGTGTCTTATTTATATAACTGGAATGGTTCGTATGTATCCATTAATTTAAAATTTTGAACTTTATTCAGGTAAAAGAATTATTGTATGTGTATTTAGATGGTTTATGTTCAAATATACTGAAGAAAATTAAAATTGAGAAGAGAGAATGTTTTACCTTTAAGCTGCCATTTTGTGGACCTTAGCAACAATATTCGAGGATGGGGCTTATCTGAAAGATCCATTGGTTTAAAATGTACTTAAAGTACAATTTGCTTTAAGTTTTTGCTTAATAGTTATGTAGAAGAAAATTAAAGTTATGTAATTCATGGAACAAATTAATTTAATTCTTTGATTTTTATATGAAAAGATTCTAAATGAAATATTTTATTGTTTAATACAAGCCAGAAAGTGTCTAAATTCTACAATTATATATTCTAAAGAAATTATTTTTAAAATATTTTCCAATTCAATTCAAATTTATGGGAAAAATATTAATTTTGACTTTCAGGAATTGTGAAATATTTAGGCATACTTTATAGTAGCTGTGCTGACAACATTGTGTAAAAATTCGTTTTTAATTTAAACGTTCAATAATCTGTTTAATAAATAAAAGGGATTAGTTAAATATAACTTATATTAATAAATAGCTTGATTGTAAGTACACAAATTAAATTATTAAACTAATCAAAAATAATTTAATTCATAAACTAATTAATTGATAGTGATGATAAACAAATTATTTAAATTTGTAGATGAATTTTAACTAATGCATTTAATAAATTAATTTCAGTATGTTAAACTAAAAGAATTTATTATTATTATTATATTAAAGATTTTATTCCAGTTCATGTTTTGTGTTAAAAAAATAATTTTCAATGAAATTCTATAAAACAAAATAATTTTAATTAAATGATTCATAACAAAATGAACTATAGAACAGAATGTAGTTTTGAGGTCAAATTTATTTTATAGGTAAATTTATTAAATTTCTCTTTATTAGTTGCTAACCATTATGTCTTTCTATAAAGAATTCTTTCAATTTGTGCAATGAACAGATAGAATTATAAAATCTAAAACATGTCTAGTTGACAATTGGTTCTGCTGTAGAGTAACCTACTACTATACCATTCCATATATGGAAACAATGTATTAATTACATAGACAAAACTGAATTATCATCCTTATTTATAATTAATATATACTTCTTGTAGACAAACCCTTTCCTGTTTTCTTTAAAGCATTCACAAAAATTATAACCATTCTGTTTTTCATTTGGCAGAGTATTTGAAAAGTTTATAAATATGTTCAATGCCTTGCAAGCCCTAAAAAAAAATATACTTGTATGTGAATCATTTAACAAAAATCTATTTTGAAGGTTTTTCTTATTTTTTTCATATCTTGATTTGTTGAACTAAATTGTCAGGGATTATAAATGTTTTTATGCATCATTTATTTCTAAATTTAGGTTTGTATATAACCAAAGTAAATTGTTTGGTAATTTGGGGTTATATGATATTGAAAAACATTTTGGTGTAATGAGGACTTTGAAAAACTTCAACTGCATTCTCGATGGGTTTTAATTAACTTAATTTTACTCCACTTACCCACCTTCGTTCAATAAGTATCTACTACTTTTCTTTTATACAATTCTTTTGTAAAAGGCAAAATGAATTTGATTTTTTTTTTATAGTTTGAAAGAAATTCAAGGGTATCTATCTGTATATGCATTATATTTTATTAATATTACAATCATATCTGTGATTTTACTTTATCCCTTCCAAATTTATGCCATGACTAATCATCCCACCCACCCCTTCTGTAAAAAAAAAAAAAAAAAAAAAAAAATTTCCTAATTGTTTATTTGATTTGATTCATTCATTTACAATTTTTTTTTTTGCAATTATCTATGTAGGTGATAATGTTGTAATTGTGATGTCCTTAACTGGCAAGATTATTTGTTGAAATTGAATCAAGCCCTACATGCCAGTTTATTGAAAATGATATTAAAAGATGATTAAATCCAAAAATATAACTGCAGTTGTTCTTTTGTATGTGACTTCAAGCTGTTCTTTATTAACTTTAATCACAAAAATGTAAACAAAGCTGTAAACTTTGAACAGGGGGTGGGGGTGTCAAGGGCAGAGACTTGGGCTGCAACATCCGGATATATCTGGCAGGTTTGCTTTAAAAGCAAATTGACTCAAGACAACACTTCTGAGCAAAAGATAGCTTAAATGTTTATTTCATACAGAATATTATGTTAGATGCAACTACTGTATTACTGTATAGTCTTGTATTGAGCTTCCACCTGGCATTCACAATTGGAGTTACAACTTAGTATGTTTTAGTTCTGGAACAAAATTTTTATCAGAATCCAAAAGATCAACATATCATTAAGTAATTGTAAATCTAAACAGCACAGTATCCGAAATCCTCAATACTTAGTAATATGCCACTTGTCATTCATTCCCAGGATTGTTTCTTGTAAAATTCATAAACCTCATAATGAAAGTTATGTTTTATTCATCCTGTAGCAAAATCAAAACTTTAGTGCCAAATTGCTTCAAAACTTCAGTGTAGATTACTTGAAAACACCAGGTTAATACTATTTAAGCCAATACTTAAAACCCATTAATCTTATAAAATATATAGTACATCAGCAACACCTGTCTCTTATACACATCTAGATGTGTATAAGAGACAGGAATTGGTTATATATTAGCATTAGTTCAGAGCCTAATTTTTGGCAAAATCTTCTGAAATTCTTGGACAGAGATTTCTATGCCAAATTTGTGCGTGGAGGATATATTCCCCACACAGGCCTTACTTTACAGTCTGGTGCGATTATTACAAGGCAATGTACATGTTATAGGGTCCAGTGCAACTGTGTAGATACTATAATTGTCTGTCTTGTATCAAATTATTTATTTACTCGGTCATTAAACATATTTTTTACCATAAGTGCATTAATTTGAATTTTTTTTTGGCAAATTATATACCTGAAGTGATTTTTGAACTATCCCTGCAAGTATGGTCAATAAAAAGCTGACATTTAAGTTCACGTAATTTAGCTATTCATTATGTACCTACTGATGAATTCACTGGGTGTTTTTTCCCCTAAATTTTCTTTTCCCCACAAGGTGCTAATGAATCTCAAGTTGATACTTGAATCTATTATTACATCAATTGTTGTTATTGCTAATTGTTTCCATTCCATATTTTCATTGAATTTAGTTTTTTTGGGGTTTGTTTTATATTCCATTTATTTGTACATTGTCTTTTGTTGTGCAATAGCATAATTGTATGGAAGTGTAAGAAGACAGAAAAGATGATTAAATCCAAAAATATAACTGCAGTTGTTCTTTTGTATGTGACTTCAAGCTGTTCTTTATTAACTTTAATCACAAAAATGTAAACAAAGCTGTAAACTTTGAACAGGGGGTGGGGGTGTCAAGGGCAGAGACTTGGGCTGCAACATCCGGATATATCTGGCAGGTTTGCTTTAAAAGCAAATTGACTCAAGACAACACTTCTGAGCAAAAGATAGCTTAAATGTTTATTTCATACAGAATATTATGTTAGATGCAACTACTGTATTACTGTATAGTCTTGTATTGAGCTTCCACCTGGCATTCACAATTGGAGTTACAACTTAGTATGTTTTAGTTCTGGAACAAAATTTTTATCAGAATCCAAAAGATCAACATATCATTAAGTAATTGTAAATCTAAACAGCACAGTATCCGAAATCCTCAATACTTAGTAATATGCCACTTGTCATTCATTCCCAGGATTGTTTCTTGTAAAATTCATAAACCTCATAATGAAAGTTATGTTTTATTCATCCTGTAGCAAAATCAAAACTTTAGTGCCAAATTGCTTCAAAACTTCAGTGTAGATTACTTGAAAACACCAGGTTAATACTATTTAAGCCAATACTTAAAACCCATTAATCTTATAAAATATATAGTACATCAGCAACACTTCATAGCTTTATAACACCGGATATCCTCTCTGGAATCAATGGGACAATTGGTTAAGTTGAAGGTGACATTTCTTTTCTTGTCAAAATACTCTGAAAATAGAAAATCGAAATACTGTATACACATAGCAATACATTTTGGCATTTATATATCACTCCATGACTTAATGCTTCTATATGTGCTTAACATTTCTTAACCAGTCATTTGTAATAGTAACATTTTTCCACAAATTGCAATTCTAATAGCAACGAAGATTAATTAAATGGAATGATCCCTCACTGAACAAACAAGTTCAGCATTATAACATCACCCTTTGTCTATAATAGAAGAGTCCACAAAAGTATGAATATTTTTTACCTAAACTCAATACACCTGCATCACTCAAGTAAACATACACTAATGGTAGCAAAGCTGACATGGCCAACTTAATGAATAAACATTAATTTAAACATCTGTATCGCTAAGCATATGTGTACTAATGGCAGTATATAAGCTGATGTGGCTTATTTGTGAAGCTTTTAGTTTACTGATGATGACTGTGATACAGCTGAAACATGTCGATTAAATCTTGGTTTATTGCTTTTAAATTTGTGTTGTTTATTATTTATATCCTCTCCATCATATGGATCCATTATTCACGATTTGAATTACAACAATTATGTTAGGATGAAGACTGGCTAAACTTCTCAAAAAATGCAGAAAAGCTGAAGCTCATCTCATTTTCTTGAACAATTGTTAAACATTCAGTGTTTTTCCCAAATAAATTCTCCACTCTCTAAGTAATATTTCTACATGTGCATAATTTAGCAGAGTGGATATAAATGTAAATAAATGATGACTAATAAATATAAAGCAAATTACATACATTTTGTGTGTGTTGCACACATGCATTAAATGCTTTTACTTCCTCGGAACACTTAAGAACTTGCTTAGGGTTTGCTTGATAACAATCTAAAACTGCTTGCTGTAGCTTTTCACAAATTGGCACAAACCTTTCCTTCCTATATAAATAAAAACAGTTCATATAAACCATTATCTGTATAGACTAAGTGACACAGACATTGACATATCTTGGGGATGCGAGGTGCACTCCCTAGGAAAGTTGGTTTCCTTACTCACGCTCCCCTCCCACTGGAAATTTGATGAGCAAAAAATTACATTCAAGTACCACAGTAATAAATCAGCTAATTTCTGAAGGTAGCACCCCTCACGTTCCCCTTTAGCCCCCCTTCCTGCAATTTCAATACCCCTAAATACACTACTAAACTCAGACACGAGTTATGTGCTACAGTATAATACTTCAACTATTATTAAATTTTGTGGTGAAGGTGGGGGGGGGGGGGCTGAGAAGGAAGGTTCTTAACTATAAATCCCCTATAAATATATTACCTCAATGCATTTTGTTTTTAAATGTTTTCATTAATTTGGTTGTGTGGTGGGAAGTGGAGGATCCAGCACTTTGGAATAGAGAGGCCCAGGGAAGGCTTTCACAGATGTCTAGACCACCTCAGCTGCAACCATTATTGGGGCTGAGGTGATTATAGCACCTCTAAATGGTTGGAAATGGCACTCTCATACCCAAACTTCATAATAATTTTCCTTTTTCTCCATTAAAAAAAATAATTTAGGGGAACCTGGTTCGGCTAGCCTCCCCAACCCCAACCCACCCTAGAATCTGCCAATGGTGGTGATGAACCAACATGTTGGTACTGTTACTAATACTAACAGAGTAAAAGATTCTGGATGTATTTTACTGCAGGTGAATATTGATATTTCAACCAACCACTACTTACATAAATTTTGCTTCCACGTTTTCTGCAGCCTGGTTAAACTGCTCTGATGTTATTTGAGCTAAATTGGCATTCTAGAAAAAAATTAAGCAAGTGAAATATCCAAATTCTGATTTAATTTATTCATCATCATGATAAAATTATGAAATGGTAAACAACCTGCCGAAGATAACACAAATATTGAATATTAAACAATAAAAATATATAAACAAATATAAAATATGAAGTATAAGTACCCTCACCTTTTCCTCTGCATTGCGTAACCTTTCTCTCCAATGTTCCTCTAATTGCCGTATTCTTTCCTTCCATTCTCTGTCACTATGGCTATGTTCACCCTTAAACAGAAAGTTTTGAAAAATTAATAAAAATTTTTACAAAATATGGTAACTAAAGGTAATAAATTTTGTCCCATACTAAAGAGTTTGTTTTATTCGTTCACATATTGGGTGTGATATGACATCACTAAATCTAAGGCTCTGTTCACTCAAGAAGCGTGCCCAGCTGGCAGTGCATTAACAGTGTGTACACAGATTTAGATTTGCTAATAAATTATACGGTATAGTGAAGCAATGTGTATAATATTTTTTCGGGCTTTGTCATTACCTGATGGGTTTCTGTAAATCCTCCATGTTCATCTGTAAAAAAAGAGTAAAATTAGTTCACTGAAATGTAGCAGAGTATATATTAATTGCACAGATGATACCTCAGAAACTAGCTCAAATTTGCGTAGAAAATCGGTAGGAAAATAGGTGCGCAGAATCGTAACTACAGCATAATACATTGGTTATGTTAAGATTAGTTCAAAGCCTAATTTTCAGCAAAATCAGCGCATATATCAGCCCTTTGTTTTCTGAAAATGTGGACAGATTTCATTCAGTCTAAGAGAAATGAGAGACAACAGTATACAATTATACAATACCTTCACTGATACCCTGAGAAGACCGGATCATTAATTTTAATACATTTTCTGATATCTGGGGGGAAAAAATGGTAAAAATATTATATTCCAATTTTATTTTATATCATTTTATTAAGTACACATTGGAGCAATTGGTGCAGAAGTTTGGAACATACATTTTATTGCATCATACATAGACCCTAAGTTTTGGCCTACAGGGCAAGGGTAGATAGGTGACCAGAATGCTGGTCACTTTGGCCTAAAACCAACTCAGCCAAAACTAATTCAGCCAAGCCAACACTTCGGACCAAAACCAACCCAGCCCAAACCAACTTGGCCCAGAACCAACACCAACTCAGCCCAGCTGACACTTCGGACCAAACCTAACTCGGACCAAACCCAAATGATACGGAATTACCCAAATGAATAGTGATCGCGTTTACCCATTACCCAAATGACAATTCAATTGAATTGAAATTAAATATTGATAAAACTATTAAATAATAATACAGTACACTCTAGTAATGATAATGATAACAATATTAAAATAATAGTAATTAATATTACTATATATTATTATTATATTATTATATATTTATTACTATTTTAGTAGTATTATTATAATTAATATTTATAAGCTTAATATTACTTTATTATTATTATTATTATTATTATTATTATTATTATTTATTTTTATATTCTCCAAATTTTTACTAGGACCATTAATTATTTTTTAGTAGAATCTTAACATACCTTTATTAAATAATGTATATTTGTAAGAATATACACAAATATTACGGATTTATTCAAGTACATTTAATTCAAACTGGCTACACCCGAAAGTGTTTTCAATTCACGATGGTAGAGTTTAAAAGTAAACTCCAGGTCTACTGTTATTTGAGACTGGCTACCCCAACGTTTTTTTAATTTTTAAAATTTTTAAAATTTTAAAAAATAAATCTAGCACTTTGGAATTAAACAGGTTCACTAATGTTACTTCTGGTAAATATATTTTGGTAAACTGTTTATTTCAGACTGGCAGCACCCAATGATTTTATGAAAAAATTATCGCAATTCAGTTTTTTGTGTGAAGATGATTTTATTAATAAATACACCATTATGAATGAAAAAAAAAAAGATTAATAAAGAATATCAAATCTATCAAAATGTTATGATCGGCGTGGAATTCTGTATACAGTATTTCAATTCAATTCATAACATTTATTATCCTTTTGTCGTCTGGGCCGAGTTGTTTTTGGTCAGAGTTGTCGTCTGGAGACTGGGCCGAGTTGATTTTGGTCCGAGTTGTCGTCTGGACCAAGTTGGTTTTGGTCCGAGTTTGCTTGGGGCCGAGTTGGTTTATTCCGAGTTGTCGTCTGGACCGAGTTGGTTTTGGTCCGAGTTGACTTGCGGCCGAATCGGTTTGGTCCGAGTTGTCGTCTGTGCCAAGTTGGTTTTGGTCCTAGTTGGTTTGGGATGAGTTGGTTTTAAGCCGAACAGACCTGCTACTACTAGGGCCTAGGCCTACAGTACTCACTCAGGCTGGCCTGGTCCTAGCCTTCTCTGCTTGAGCCGGTGCCAGCTAGGCCTATGATGCTAGAGGCTTCCAACTAGGCTAGCCTAGGAGGAGGCCTAGCTAAACTGTAACCTGGCCGAAAGGTAAGTCTACAATCACATCTAGTAAGTATTTTATGGTTTTCAATCAATATTACCGTTATTGCACCATCACTTTCTTCTTCTAAAGTCACTGTTCTGCTGTTATTTCCACCCATTTTGCAAAACTTCTGTCGATGCGCAGCTCTACGGGTTCCGAATGCTCCCACTTGACCAGGGTCGAGTCTAGTCGACGGTAGCCATCGGGTCGAGCTACACGGACGAATGAACACACACGGAGATATAAAAGAGAGAAGAAGGCTGACGTGTGCCACGTGTGAGAAGAAATTATTTATTATTAACTAGAGGTAGGCCTGCAGTATTTACAATTTAGCGGGGCATAGGCCTTGGACAGATTACGTAATTGTGTAAATTGTATCATAATTACATTTCAATCCTAGGTGGTCAGCCTAGGTATGTAGCCTAGGCTAGCCTAGCTAGCTAGGCTAGTGGGGTTGGCCCTTAGGCTTAGTTAGCCTACCACCACCTAGTGTAGCAGGAGGCTGGGCCTTTAGGCCTAGCTTTTTTACCCTATGTAGGTATAGCGTTTCAGCTAGGTAGATAGGGTCTAGGTTATGTAATTTGTATTTGAACAAATCAGTTGTTGGATGGATTTATAAATGTGAGGTCTCACTACAAAATAAGTCTCATCGTCAGAAAATCAAAAAATGAGTTTAGGCCTATATTATATTTTAGTTGATCACATTATAAGCTTTAATTTGATCTTTGAATGGCTTCCCTAGGATAAATAGATAGCATATATTATACTGTTATTATTCTGTCTCTTATACACATCTAGATGTGTATAAGAGACAGATATACGTGTATACGTATATATATATATTTATTTATTTATATTTATATATTTTATTTATATTTATTTTATTTATACTTATATATATACGTATATATATATATGTATATATATATATATATACGTACATATATATATACATATATATACGTATAATATACATGCGTATATATACACACGCGTATGTATGTACACGCGTATGTATGCACACGCATACATACGCGTGCATGTATGCGTGCACGCATCCATGTATCATGCATAGGAACGTTGACGCCTGCAAGGCTCTGGTTATTCTGTAATAGTGCCACTGAACACTGCATTATGCTGTGGATATTGGCCTATGCAAATACATGTTGCTTGATTTGATTGATTGATTGATTGATTAATTGATTGATTGATGCAAAAATTCTTTCAGCCGAAAATGGATATGTTAGATTATGGAGAATATGAAGGCGGAGATTATCCAGATGATTTGTATGGTATGATGGAAGATTATGGTGACTATGGCAACTATGATGACTATGATAATCAAATGCTGGAGCCACCCACGTATTCGGAGCTTGTGACAGAATGTATGGTACCAACATTGCAACAGGGAGCTGCTATGATTTCCCATCTTGTGTTCTTTTGCATAAGCCTCAATGTTGTTTCTCAATTTGGTAAGATTTTACAACAATAATAAGTTTAGACTTATGTCTTATTTAATTATGTTCATATTGTTTTTTTTTTATTAATGCCCCATAATTTCAACCTTGAAAATATTTTTTGTTATGGTATATTAATTATATATTTGTTTATTAGTTGAACAATATTGAATAAGTTTGTATAAAATGACTCAGATACATCCTGAATCAAATAGTTACAGTATATACTCGCGTATAAGGCCACCCACGTATAAGACGACCCTTGAGTTTAAGAAGATTTTTGGATGAGTTTTCTATGTCAGGCTTATAAGACGTATACTCCCTACTTTTTCTACTTTTTATGGTCTTGATACTGCATCTAGCTGGCTAAAACGGATTCAAAGTTAATCTTCCAAATAATACCATTTTATGAGTTTTTAAATGTTCATAACAATCTTATTTCCCCGTATTTAACATTGCGTTCATTCATACTAACATTTAGTTGTGTCATTGCTGTAGTAAATTTGCGTGTTAAGGACAATCCGTACATAAGTTAAACATGATTTTAGAAATCTAAAATTTGATGACTTCCAGTATTTTGATCGTAATTTTCTACCTTAAGCCTTGACTTATACGTGAGTATATACGATATGTTGTTCATTTGCAGGTGTTCCGTCCACGCTTTTACACATCCTATCAATAGCAGCTGGTTTCACAAGCGTTGCCATGGTATTCGAGAATCTGATCGTTCATATAATCTACCTGTCTGTGTTGGGGTATTTCTTGCTTCTCATCATGTCACTCCTTGAAGTGAAGAACAAGGGTGCTTTTCTTGGTGTAGCTCTCGTCTGTTACCTCATTTTCTGGTAAGTCAATATCATTTGTGTTCCTACATAGCATATATTATACTGTTATTATTTGTTTGAAAGTGATATTAAATGTAGATTAATGGCTAATCTTTTTAATTTTTTTCAGGGAGTTTTTTATTGCTGATCCAAAAGAATGGCATCGGATCAGAGGTGTGTTTAGCATTTTGGTATATAATGATAATGGTAAATTTAATGATAATGGTAATATTAATGATAATGGTGATATTAATGATAAGGGTAATATTAATGATAATGGTTAAAAAATAATGGTAATACTAAAGATAATGTTAATATTAATGATATGGTAATATTAATGATAATGGTGATATTAATGATAAGGGTAATAGTAATGATAATGGTTAAAAATAATGGTAATATTAATGATAATGGTTAAAAATAATGGTAATATTAATGATAATGTTAATATTAATGATTAATGGTTAAAAATAATGGTAATATTAATGATAATGGTAATATTTATGATAATGGTAATAATAATGGTGATATTAATGATAAGGGTAATATTAATAATAATGGTAAAATTAATGGTAATATTAATGATAATGGTAATATTAATGATAATGGTAATATTAATGATAATGGTAATATTAATGGTGTTATTAATGATAATCGTATTAATGATAATAGTAATATTAATGATAATGTTAATATTAATGACTTTAAATAGTAATGATAATAATGATGATTATAGTGATATTGGTGATGCTCATGATTCTTCTTATTATTTACTTGAGAATGAAAACATATAACATTATACTAGCCCCAGGTCGTAGCTTGATCCCATAAGCATAACTCTGCTTGATTAGGCCTAGCAGAAAGGTGCTAATTGCAATTCACTTCTCCCAGTTTACAGAATAGAATGACCTTGGTTCAAATTTTGAGGCAGAATTTCTCTCTTGATTAATTTTGCACAAACAGACTGAAAATTATTTAACATTTATGGTGCAACATTTCTTTTGTCTCTAGGTGTTCAGATGGTTCTTGTTATGAAGCTAATATCCTTGGCATTTGATCTAGACAGTGGCGTGGTTAAAGAAATGCCAGATATTATCGAGTTTTACAGCTACGTCTTCTTCCCAGGCACTGTCATTTATGGCCCCTGGATGAGTTTTTCCACCTACACCAAACTAGCTAACATTCCATTAGTCGTAAGTTACTGTCGTAATATTGGCCTATACAAATGTCATGACATCCTCACTGTTGTCATCACCATTGTCATTGTCACCATTATCATCATCACCACCACCATTTTCATTGTCACCGTTATCATCATCACTATTGTCATTGTCACCATTATCATCATCACCATCATCATTGTCACCATTATCATCATCACTATTGTCATTGTCACCATTATAATCATCACCATCGTCATTGTCACCATTATCATCAGCACTATTGTCATTGTCACCATTATCATCATCACCATCGTCATTGTCACCATTATCATCATCACCATCGTCATTGTCACCATTATCATCATCACCATCGTCATTGTCACCATTATCATCAGCACTATTGTCATTGTCACCATTATCATCATCACCATCGTCATTGTCACCATTATCATCATCACCATCGTCATTGTCACCATTATCATCAGCACTATTGTCATTGTCACCATTATAATCATCACCATCGTCATTGTCACCATTATCATCATCACCATCGTCATTGTCACCATTATCATCACCATCGTCATTGTCACCATTATCATCATCAGCATTATTGTCACCCTTATAATCATTACCATTGTCATTGTCACCATTATCATCATTACTACTGTCATTTTTTTAGCTTATGACAGACAGTATACAGGTTTAGTTAATGTTTCAAAATTGTTCTTGAAACAGTCTTTTTATCAAATCAATTCATCATTTGAATCTATCTTATTTCTAACCAAATGGAGATGCATAATAACATTGTCCAAACATATTTTATTAACTTCTAGAACTGGAATTGGGTTGTAAGTTTGTTTGTCAACTGCATAAAATCAATGATGTGTTTAGTGATCTCAACCTGTATAGCTACAACTTTGTTTCTCACCTATGAGTACAAGTAAGTATTTAATCATTATCTGGATCACATTGTACAATAATGTTTTAAATATTTTTTAAATTTAAGTTAAGAAATTGATTTATTATTAGATAATATACATTAATATAACATTTATGTTGGAACCCATCCTTAATTTCTGATTTTTCCTCTTCATCCTTTCCACCAAAATACCTAAGAAATATTTGTTGAAGTTTGGAACTGTTGTTTTAACTTTGGAACTTGCTCGACAATAATCTCAAAACATGTAAATGTCCTTCTCAATTCAAAAGAAAATATAAAGAAAAGTTTTTCTCTTAATTCCATCAACTAACTGAAATCCGTTCCTTCGTGGTATATGTATTTACTTTTTTTCTTTTCGTTTTTAGCCTTGTGTCTTAAGGAAAATGCAAATAATATTATTTAAATGTTCTGGGGGAAACACCTCATAAGTTTTTACTTCAGTTTCCTCCATTTCTTGCAATTTATTCTGAAGACATTATAAGCACTGTTAATTTGTATTTGGTTTATTGCCAGAAATTAAGTTCATTGTATTTTATTGTATTGTATTTGTGTTTACCTGTATTTGTTTTTACCAGTGTTTGTGTGGCAAATTTCTTTCTGTTGTTGAAGTTCGTTCAAAGATTGCATAAGTAAATAAATGAAATAATCATGCTGAAATAGATAGATGTACATATAATAGTTAAATTTTACTATGTTTTAAATCCATTTTTTTTTTCACTTTCTCTTAGGTGGTTGCATGCTTACCGTGATGCGCTTTCATTCCGTTTTAGTCATTATTTCATCAGTTATCTATCATCATTAACATGTATAGCATCAGGGTTAGGGTCAAAGTCAAATAGTGATTCTACAACTTGGTAAGTTGTTTAACAATGTAATGAATTATAATCAAATTTGAAAGTATAATCAATGTTATTATAAAGTATTTGAATCACTAATTATATTCTCTTGCCTGAATATTTAAACAGTTTCAGTTGTGTTTAAGGTCATTCAAATATCAATAACCTGTTAAAGTAAATAGTTACTATAGTAACTACTATCTAATATCTATTGGCTATGTTCTCACACCGCTGCTAACGGTTAGCAAGATCCTGACACTGCTAACCGTTAGCTGCCGTGCGTCCATGCGCGAAAATCCCGACTCGGATGCCAAAAATATAATAATCAAATCACTGGCCAATAAGAAACTGGAAATTGTAAACGCGTATGTGTGATTGGTTGATGATAGAAAGGCCCTCAACTTGCTAACCGATAGCGCTTGCTAACCATTAGTGTATCCGGATACCACTAACCAATCGGGCGTTCTCACGCAGGTGCTAACGGTTAGCTCCCGATCTGGATACTAGGTCTTTCATGAGAACCAGGCTTTAGTTTCCTGCTGGCTATTGAAAGATTTCTTGACTACAGAGAGAAGGAAAAGTTCAACTTCTTAAAATATTTGGAAACAGAGTAAATTTTATTAAAGTTAATGGTTTCTATTTTTATATAATGATCTTCTCTGAATGTTCACAAAGTAGTTAAGACTTATTTGCATTTAATAAAGGTCAAATAAACTGTGGAATTTTGACAGAATCTAGCTTATTTATCCTAAAGGTTAATAAACCCCAAATTAAATGCATCCTCAAAGCTGTTTGATGAATTATTCAGGAAAATCTTTGTACTATATTTATTTTCATATTTAAAGGATATCTATTTGTTTTTCCAATAACATAAAAAGAATAATATAAATCAAATCAATTTACTAAATTATCTAAATTGTAAATTTTTTTAGGGATTATCCGGTCAGTAAACCATCGTTTATTGAGATTCCAAGGTCTCTTGTGGAAGTAGTTACCAATTGGAATTTACCTATGCATATGTGGCTCAAAACTTGTAAGTATCTGGTAGAGAAATGAGTCACTTTTTAGATTTTGTAATAGAGGGAATTTAAAGTACTTGTTTATGCAGGTTTCATGGTTTATACAATTTGAAAGACAAACTATTTTTTGTGTTATACTAATCTTGAACCAAATCTTGAATTTCAGAATCTAATGCTCAGTTGTATTGTAAAATTCAATAATGTATCATAATTAATATTATTTAACGCTGTATATAGTAAATTAAATAGAATTTAGTATTTGTTTTTATTATGTTCAAGTAATTTGTATTACTGTTGTAAAAAATGCCTAGTTTTGCCAAATTCTGCCCCACACAATGGTAGAAATATGCAACTGAGAATCCAGTCTCATACTCTTACTACAGCATCATGATAATTACTTAATAACAGTGATTACCATATTTAGCATATAGAGTTAATTATACTTGTCTCAGAACTGGATGCTACAGTACTTCAATAATTAACATGCTATAAATTTACATCTTTCAGATGTTTTCAAAACCACCAAACAGTTTGGCAATTTTGCAGCAATCATAATGACGTATGCAGCTAGCTCACTACTTCATGTATGTAATACATTCCATTTTTCATGCTTTTTTTATACCTTGTTTAGAGAACCCATTGCCTGCCAATAGTGATGATTTCGATTAAAAATAAAATTTTATTTGTAGCCAGTTAGAACACCTGTCACCACGAAAAAATGGAAATTTCAGAAAAAAATAAAAGTTTTTCTTTATTTTTATTATACCTGCCGCTGCTTTGAAATCTCCAAAAATAAGATGTTTAATTCGTCCTAATTATATAAATTTAAAACATTTTAACCATCCCATTACTACACTGTTTGCATTCAATAATAAAATTTTATTTTTTTCCTCCTTCAGATGTTTTTGACAAAATTATTTGCAAAATAAGGTTAACAAGATTTTATTTTTTTTCCGCCCTCCTCTGACGATCTTTACGAAAATAAGTTCGCGAAACAAGGTATAAAAAAGTCTTGCCATATCTTACACTGACAAATTAACGATAGTTGAATATTAATATTTTTATCTTATTTTTCAAGATATGATGAGCTATGTTTCTTTTCTACATGTTGTGCATTTTAAGTTAAAATTTGTGATGGTGAATGTAATTTGTATTCAGTTAATATGGAAATTTTTAAAGGTGATGTCAAATAATATTAATTTATTGTCTTTCTATGCGATAATGCTCAAAATATGTGCAATTTTTAATCCTCTTTAGCAATACATAGTATAAATAATTTACTTGTCAATTTATTACCATTTCTCTACTCTAAATTGTTTATAATAATGATGAATTTTAATGTGTTGATGACTTGAACATTTTGTAGGCACTGCATGAAGATACTTGATAAACAGTACATCTGTCGATTCACAAATATTGAAATAATTATTACAGTTTGTTATTTTACTTTCAGGGTCTTAACTTCCAGCTTGCTGCTGTTCTGTTGTCATTAGGAGTGTATACCTACATTGAATATGGTATGAATTATAAATACTGTACAAATTTTTTTGTAAACCAGCTATATCACTAGCTCTGTCTGTCTTCTTATGATAAGATAAACTTTATTGTCATAACCACAAAACAAGGTGAACATATGATTAGGTTTCCTTGATACTTAACTATAGAAAAATACATTATGAAATAAATTTTAAAAAACAAAGATATATTGCACTTAATATATACATGAAAGACTGAAAAAAATATGTACAGTACAATTTACTGTACAAACTACTGTCTGAAATGTTGAATTCTTGAAGAATGTTCACTTGAAGAATGTTTCACTTGACGAATGTTCACTTGAAGAAATTTGAGGAAAGTTCACATGAATAATGTTCATTTGAAGGATGTTAACCTAAAGAATGTTTTATTTTTCACTTGAACCAATGGAAGAATTTCCTTTTCAGTATTCATTTTAAATCTTGCGTTTTACATTACTAGTATATTTTTATGCTATTATAACAGCATTTTTTACATACTTATTTTTTTGTTATAAAGTTTTGAGGCAAAGACTTGCAGAAATTTTCAGTGCGTGTATTCAAGCAAAGCGCTGCAAGAAGTGTGAACACACGTATAAATCGGTGAGTACTGTACAAATGCTCAAATAAGTGCTGCTCTCGAATAAGCGACACCAAACATGATTTTTTTTTGTTATGCGCCGCTCTTAAATATGCGCCACAGCACTTAATCGAGAGTATATATTACCCTGTGTGTAACGAAACACTTTGAGAAACAGGGTTTTGAATACAGTGCATACAATGTAGAAAAATCTGTCTAACTCACATCAGTAAAATTCCTCTCTCTCAACATGATAAACTTGCTGTTGATCTAATGCTGCAATGTGATGAGGACAGTGTTGATTCAGTGCCCCCCCCAAGTTTCCAATGTTGGTCCTGTGTTCCCACATTTTTACAAGATATATCTTATGATAATGCTGATTTGCAGAATGAAGTTGTTCATAGTTGTTTTACAAACTCACAATCAGACACTGATAAAAAAGGTGTGAGTGATATTAAACAAACCAAGTATCCTGAAATCAATGTGGCCCATTATTGTGCGGGAAATGATGGAAAGAGGGTGTATGACAAAAAACAGGCATATGCCATTTTTCCGACACAAAGTACAGTGCAAAGTAGCACGCCATCTGAATTTGGCACACTACATAAACCCAAGTCGCTAAAGTTATGAAAGTTAGAAAAACTTCATATGGTTGGAAACTTCAATCATAACGCGAGGATATTAACAGAAGGCAGAGGGACACTCATTGTTATGCGACGTTCCAATCAAACAGAGGTGGCAGAGGACTACTTACCATGCATCCACTGCTTTGAATTAGTAGTTGAAAGCGAGTTATGGCGACATGTTAGAACTATAGTGTTAAAACTGATGAAGTCAAAGAAGAAGATGAAAGTCAGTGCAGCCGATACAGTCGTTTCAAAATGCAAAACGCTTTTGCTGGGTGCTGCAACTTCATTAAGGAGTATAAGAAACTTAAGAGGGAAGTTCTTTTTAATATGAAGGAAGATGAGGTTAAGTCAATACTATTGGATGATATCATTTTAAATTTAGGTTCTATACTTTAGTTCGGGTGAAAGTAAGAGGCACTACATTCATGAAAGCTATTACAGTACGCAATTTTTACCCAAGTCAAATCAGCTTAAAGCCAATAATTATGATGTGTTTCATCCTGAAATTGGTAAGTGTACTTGATTTTAAAATGGGAAGCAACTTTTTAAGATCAAGCAATTTTTTCAGATCATTAATGATTGTAGATATTTTGAACTGGATACTGAATATCAAATTTTATTCGATAATCATTGTAAATTAAATTACTGTATTGGATTGGAAGTTCTGATTTTTCATTTTCTTATGAGTAACATGATATCTTGATGAAAAAAGACATGGTGAGTTATATTCTCCATTTCTTTTTCCAGTCAAATCTGTTTGTAATTATGACAAATTTATTGTTTGGTGCCCTCGCTATGTTTCATCTTGCTTATCTTGGAGTAATGTTTGATAGTGATCATGAGAAAGAAGAGGAGGTATGTAAACACACTACATTAAAGTTATTATTGTTTACACATCATGTCTTAAACATAACAAATACTTGAAATTGGCACTTTATAATAATTACTGTAAATTAAATTTTACATTTACAATGTCTTTGCAACACAACATAGTCTAACTAAGCAGTGTTTGTTGGGCAGCTTGGTTATGATTGTTTATGCTCAGTTCTGTCCACTTTCTGAAATTTTATGTGACAAAATATTTATTGTTAATTTTGTTTCCCCCTTTTTTTCTCTTACAGGGATATAATATGAGTCATACTCTTGGAAAATGGTTTGATTTAGGTTTTGTGAGCCACTACATTGCCATTGCAACCTACATCTTCTACTGGTTGATAAAATAATGATAATAATTGCCTGTCACTGAAATCTGGAGGTCCATCAAAGGAACTTGACTTTTTTGATAATTTACTGCATTATGGGATTGCCTTGATAGTTACCATGGTGACTGTTGCCATGGATAAAAGTGCCTTATAAGCTGTTGTAGCAATGACAGTAGAATCACATAGAGATGTGCATAACTTGTACATGAGTCTGATTATAACTTCATCATTGTATTACCATTACCATTCATCATTTTATCATCATAATATCATCACAGTCATAAACACCATATAATCATTATTGTTACCTTCGTAATCATCATCATCATTATTATCATTATCAACTTCATTTTTTAAATATAATCTGTATTTATACCGTTTAAGGTGTCTTTTACAATTATCAACATTTTCACAAGTGCACAAACAGTATGCTAGCGGGGAGAGGGTATAGACAAATTTGTAGACTTACATATGTAGGAAAATGTTGATTCAAAGTAAAATACAATATTTTGAAATAATAGAATTGATGACCAATTATAATGCAAATATGGCTATAATATACATTTCTATGTAACCAAGTACAGTACTTTAGTTGACTTCATAAAAAAAATGGAGAATGCTTATGCAAAATCAAAATTTATTATGTACACTTTCAGACTGGAGGGAGGGGGTACGGAAAAAGAATACTGTTTTTACATTTCAGAAAATATTGATAATTATGAATAACCCTTAAACTGTTCAGTAAAAATCTGCAGCTCTCCCACAGGGCTCAGGCAAGACTTTATTTATACCTTGTTTAGTGAACCTGCCGACTGCAAAATTGATGATATCAAATAAGAATAAAATTTCATTTTTGGCTGATTAGCGCACCCGCTATCACAAGAAAGTGGAAAAAAAATGTTTTTCTTTATTTTTATTGCACCCTCCACTGCCTTGAAATCTCCAAAGATAAGATATATGTATAATGTATTTCTTCCTAATTATATAAATTTGAAGCATTTAACCATCCTATTTTACATTCACCAATAAAATTGTTTTTTTTTCTCCTCTGTCTGAATGATTTTGGCAAAACTATTTTCTAAACAAGAAAACAAAATTTTATTTTTATTTTTATTCCACCCTTCTCTGATAATCTTTAACAAACTAAGCATGTGAAGCAAGTAATAAAAAAAGGGTGTTGGATATGTTTTCCAAAGCCGACTGGAAATACAATTATAATTTATAAAATCACTTTAACAGGTATTCACTTTAACCATGTGCCTGTTATTTTTTATTGAAATGCTCAGTATATTTATTACAAATGTGAAATGTTTGTTAAATGTATTGTTTTTAAGTGGCCAATGGCCTTGAAATGACAGATAGGTTGATGGGAGCAATTAATGTTGTTGGCCAATCTTAATGTTGATTTTTTCTGGCAAAACTGGGGGGAGGGGGTTGGGTGGCAAGAAAATATCTGTAGAAAATTACTCCCCTTTTCCCCTGTAGTGTTGCCACTGCTGCTCAACAACAGAATATAAATTGGTACCTGGGAGAGTGCAAATGTTATGCAATAAAATTATCTGAGGTCTGTCCACACTGGTCTGTCCGCACAGACATTTTTATGTGATTTTCCCATGTTTGTCATATGACATCCTTATGTCCATATATGGTCAAATTGCACAAATATATCATAAATATTTATAGGGTGGACAAACTGTACATAAACTGAAATGAGTGCCTATTATTGTACAAGACATTGTAATTTTATTATTCCTAGATGTTTTACATATTACATTTCAATTAATGTATGTCTTTCTTGTTAGATTTCTTTTCATAAATCATTAACAATTTTTGTTTACCATAGTATTACCAAAGCATATTAAATGTTTTTAAATGTCATTAAATGAAGCTTTTTAAAAAGAAATCCTGCTGCTTGATAGGTGGCACAATTTAAGTAATAAACATAATGTAGTATGCCATTTTCAAAAATTTATATTTTTTATGTTGTGCATCAATACATTTTCTATTACATGTTTTCTTATATATGTTGAAAATTTTGCCTTTGAATCTTAAAATGTATTTAATTTTTGTTTATTGTAGTGCAATTTTTAAAATTCTGTTGATCATGCTTTTGTTGTGTTATAATGTTTAATTTAAATATTTTCATTTATGTTTTTTTTTTTTTTCATAAAACAGTGGATTTCCAATATAGCAATACTAAAATAATGAGTGTTTACTCTCATTTTCAGAAACTACTTTATATAATAAAGTATGTTGTACACTACAGTATAACCCCTCCACTGGAACACTTATATATTAAGGGAACATGCCTATTAAGGGAAGTCCCCTATTAAGGGAACACACCTATTAAGGGAACTCCCCTATTATGGGAACACCTATTACGATATAACCCCTATAAAAGGGACATCCCTATAAATTGAACATTCCTATTAAGGTAACACCCCTTTTAAGGGAACACCTCTATAAAAGGAACACCCCTATTAAAGGAACACCCTATTAATGGAACACTCCTTTTCAGGGAACACCTCTATTGAGGAGACATTTGGCTGCGAATTTAGAGAAAATATACTTTATTTACATTACGACAAACCCCTATTCAGGGGACTTTTCTTGCTTCCTACGGTGTCGGAGTTCTGTATTCTAGTTGTATAATTTCCTTGGCATAGACGATAGTTTTGCTTAATAGGTTATTGCAAGGTTATAAGCAATTTTTCTAGTTTGATAATAGTTTATTGTAGACCTAGAATATATATTTTCTTATTAAATATTTAATTGATCAAATATTGACAATTGTAAATGTTCTGTCTTGCAGACATCAATAGTTACAGCAGAATTTGTCAATTCTCATTAAATACTTGTTTGACAAAATAGATCATTTTGAAGTTTTTAATTCTTCTTTAATACAATCTGCCGTACTGTGCTCACACGAATATCGTGATTTGCCATTTATAAACACTATGATGGTATACCCAAATACACTGTATAGGCAAATTGCAGTTATGAAACGAGTTCACAATATATTTTGATATTATTCGTTCTAATGCTTTCCAAAAGATATAATACAGGTCTCCCTCTAATTAAAGACCGCTTCCAATTGAATACCACTTTTCTGTGGTCTCAAATTCACATATGTCTTTTATCTTTATTATGCTAATTAGAAAGCAAAGCTGCGAAAGACCATTGAAAATTGGAGGGAGAGATGTTTTAGAATATAACAATACTGTAGGAAACAAATAGGCAAAATTTACGTCAGATATTGAATCTTATGCCATAATATTTAATTCTAATAATTCAGTTCTATTTCATAATTAATTATTATTAAGTTAATTAATGAGGAAATAAAATTGAATTATAATAGACTTAAATATTATAGCATAAGATTCAATTTCTTACGAAATTTTTGCCTGTGCCACCATCAGCAAAAATATTCTGTTTGAAACTAATTCCGATGGCCTAACTGGAAGGTATTCTTTACAAATGACATTATATTCAACGAATTTATTTAATGCAAAGAGTTAAACCAATGACGTAGTATATGACGTCATACAAGTATTTAATAGACGTATATAAATAGTTATAATAATTAATATAGACCTACATGCGCTGCCCAAGTTGTTATTCTTTATTGTTACACTTAAAATGATAATTTGTGATAAAAACTGAGAGCGCGTTATTAACAGTATCTTAAGTGTCGTCTGCCCATCAAATAATGACACTCTAATGGCATGTCGTATCATCAGAAATGAAAGAATTTGGTCTGCGCCGGAGAAGTCATACTCGTTTGCGGACGGGTCGCGATACAACGTTCGTCTGTTGATCATCTTCACAGTTTCTCGGTTGGTAACAACGGTGTTTTAAATCGAAAGGAGTATTTGAATATAATAATACCAAATCACAGCTGTTGTGACTGCATTTATGTTGATGCCGTCTGAAATATGATCGTCGGCCGTTAATATATTTCTCCGTCGTGTGCTACGGCGTTTGCGTGCACGCTTCATATAGTATCGCGTTACTAGCTATAAACAACCGATGTATTTGAACTCTCATCCCGACTCTCATTCGTTAATATTTAACCTAGACTTTTCATAGGATGAAACGCCTTGCTGGCGTGTTAACGTGGGAGGCTGCAATCGCATCATGAATTCTCTGAAAACACTTATTTGCTGCGCTGATTCTATCCTTATTCAGCTTTGAGGGACTACTTAAGCACGGAGTAACTCAGTTAATACACCACTGTCAACGCCGTGTCGTTTTTAACTGAACTGCTATGGTTGATTTAATACATATTGTATAGAAAGAAGCCGAGATATCTAATGTGGAAATTCATTATAGGCTTAAGCCTGTCACGTCGTCCGGTATATTATAATAATTGTTCATCGCTGGTAAATTCCAAATGAGATTACTACCAATTCGTTAGTCATTACTCAATTAACAACAGGGATACTAATTAATACGGAGCTATTAGAGATCAGTTGTTGCTTTTTCGTGGGTAAGCTGCTTACTAGATGAATATAAACCATTCATATTGTATGTGCACTTGTGTTTGTAGATGAAAGTTTCTCGACAATTGTGTATTTATTCGTCATATTACAAAGAAAACTGATATATAAACGCTTTGTAATTTGAATGATGGTGTGGCCGGTTATCGCTATCGTAGGTGTGATCTTCATTTTATTTATTATCATCATGTTTTTACGGTTGTGCCATTATGTACGGCGCAACCCACAGCAACACTGTACATTACCATGGGAACTAAATTTGGACAACGCGTCAAAGGCAAAAGATACTTCATGCCACGTTGACGTCTTCTCCCCCATCCCGTTCAGCAAAGAGACAGGAGGAGAGTTTAGTGAAGGGGAACCAATTATGATTGGTCATAACATAGTATGGAATGTATACGATTGAAAGAAAGCACGTTGACGACAGGAATTTAGCCGAAACCTACTTAAGTTCGCTTAAGTCCGCTTATCAACATCAGCCGAAATATCGGTATTTTTCAAACATGATCGCACGCGCACGATAATACATTACGTGGAAATTAACGTGAAGAACCAGTGAATGCATTCATGAACCGACACGGATGGTTTTCGACGGTGGTAGAGTCGGTATTTCATGTTTCAGAATGTTTTATTAATTTCTAAGACGACCGAATTGATCCGTGTCGATTGTTTGAGCACGGAATTACCGATCGAGGATCAGAAAGTCATGTTTTTAACATTTATTTATCATGTTATAGTATGGTTTTCATTGTGATACACGTTCGTTTTTAGGTGGACTAGTGGAGAATTGTGTTGTTCAATCATGTGGCGATGTAAATCATTTTTATGCGTCTGTTCTTACATTCTGTTGAACATTATCAATTTTCTAACGCGAGATATTATGACACCACCATCCGTATACGCATGCGTATGTGGGATTTAGTCGTGTTCACAATGTGCATAATATTACATTCTGTCTGAGAGACAGTAATCCAATATCTTTAAAATTAAATCTAATATTGGTGGCTAATATTTCATAGCCGTCAGAAGCATTTTGCAATTTTAAGAGCAGCATATCATTAGTAATGAAATGACAGCGATTTGAAGGGGAAGGGTGGAGTGATTTGGTTTTTTTGTTTGTTTTGGGGTTTTTTTGTTTTGTTTGGGAATGTACTCTTCTCTATTACGAATTTAGAATGAAAACTTTCTACAAAATAAATAAATAAATATCGGGTCCCTCTGCGTTAATAGTAGTTTACAATAATTTTGGAACCTTATAAACAGTTAAGCCTAAGCACACTCTTATTATGCTAGTCTTTAAAATATCGAGATGTTTCCAATAAGTGCTTAGGGTTTGATCTTTACGGCGGTGGAGTCGAGTAAAATAATGTTTCCGTTCTAGCTCGCAATTAATTGGCCGTATTCGACGGGTCGTTCTTCGTTAAACCACGCCCACCTGCGCAGTGGTAAAATCCTACTTAACGAAGACGACCAGTCGAATTGTAAACTGGTAAATACTCGACAAAACAAAATGGCTGCATGGTTACCGCGATGCACGCTGCGTAATCAAGGCTGCTTCGGATTGTGGCAGTATGGGTTTTTCGTAAAAAAAATGTTTTCATCCAGTTTTTGAATTCTGTTAGCCTACAATTATTTTTTGACTTTAAAGCGGGTAAATATTGTAATTTTTATTTTCTGAAATTTAATCTAAATTATATTAACGCAAATGTTGTTGCTAAACTGACCAATCGGCCATTTTTTTCACGTGCATAACTCAACGCTGATTAACGCATTCTGGTTACGTTAATTTTCGTTGTCATCGAAGTCTATTTTTTAGGCATGCCAAATAATATTTAATAGTCTGGACAGGTTAGTGAGATGATACTTGGCCTATTTGTTTATTGTTAAAATTAGTGAGTGGATGTGAGTGGAAAAAAAATAGAGAGTAGTACAGCTTTTTGTGTTTCTATGTTTTTTGTTTTATGAAATGTTTCTCAGTTTGTTATTTTCTTTGCTGGGATCTGCGGAGGACCATGGTTTTTATCCCTGAGCAGTCCCTCAGGATAAACAGTAAGGAAAGAAAGAAAGAAGAAAGATGTTATATTGTACGGTATAGGCCTATCGGCTATTCCATGTATCTACATTAATGTTTGTAAAATTTAGCATTGAACGAATGTTTTCTATTTTTTCAATTTGGAATCAAATTATCGTTGTCATAATCCATTACCTGTTGGAATCTACATGTTTTTTTTGCAAGGTTTTTGTAAACGTTTAATTCGAATAGTGCTGTTTTTTAAACTGATGTAATCAAACATATTTATCTGTACTGTATATACAAAATTATTATATATCACAATAAACATACGGTAATGTTCGTATTATCTGAATTACGATATCTATTACATAATTATCTATTTTCTTGATAGGTTTCTTTTATTCAATTTGTATATATATATATACACACATACGCAATATTATATACAGTGCTTATACACATCT